TAAAATATCACTCCGGATTTTCAGGGTTATTGATCAGCGAATTAAGGTCCAATTCGCATTCCGGTGACATATGCAATATAATTCTAAATTAAAATCCATAAGCATTATCCTTACATGTTCTAATACAAGGGAGCTATTTGTATCATTGTCAATATTTCTTTGCTTTTTTTTTATGCTTCATTACTGTCTCATGCCTAATGCCATACCTGCTACTGCAAATGTTTCAATTGCTGAGGATGGTGCCTTCTACATAATGCTTTTCCCACCAAATTTAAATGTTTGTTAATATCTGGAATAGTAGCTTAATCAGATACCATAGAAGCATTATTAATTTACAATCACAGACAGCATTCATTATCTTGGCCTTCTAAATCACAATAATATACCTCTCTCCTCTTATCTTTACATTCATCATGGAGGTGTTTCTTGAGATGGTTTTGTATGACATCCATTTTCTGTAAAGCAAGTTGCTTAAAATGTAGCAGCATATTAAATTATATATTAAATTAAGTATGTGAAATTTTCTAATTGCAAAAAAACTTATAGTTAACATCTGAATTACTTCACTTTTTACTGAATTACTTTTGGCAGTTGTCACCGATTAAGTTTGGGAGAGTGGTATTTTTAATCAGTGATAACAATTATTTTTGTATTTGTGTGGATCAGAATGAATAGGTTATCAACGAATTGATTTTTGTATTAACGGATAATTTTATTTAAAGAAGATAGATAGATAAAAGTGTTAAATAAAATATATTTTTTTTTTATTTAGTTTTTCTTAGTCGAAACTAATTAACTTGTAATTTTACAGTAGGTCGAAATTGAGTACTTTATATGAGCCCGCATTGGGCGATTCCTCCCAATATGGGCTATTTCGTCCAAGTTGAGTTATTCCACCCGCATTGGGATCATCATCACTAATCTCTACTAAATATGGTTAAATAAATGCGAACGCGTTACGAATTAATTAATAATATACGAAACGTAACATGAATATAAATGATAATAAATAATTATACAGTCAAACCTCACCACAGCGAACCTCGTCACAGAGAATTTCTCGTTACAACAAATTTAAATATCGGCCCCTTTTTTTATTAATTATTGCACGCCATGCTGGACAAAAGTGTACCACATTTTGTTGTAAAAAAATAATTGCAACATTTTGCTGTAAATAATTGCAACATTGTTATAAAAAGTTGCAACATTTTGTTGTAATTAGTTGCAACATTTTATTGTAAGAAGTTGCAACGTTTTGTTGTAATTAATTGAAACGTTTTGTCGTAATTAGTTGCAACATTTTATTGTAAGAAGTTGCAACGTTTTGTTGTAATTAATTGAAACGTTTTGTCGTAATTAATTACAACATTTTGTTGTAAAAAGTTGCAACGTTTTGTTGTAATTAATTGCAACGTTTTGTTGTAAAAAGTTATTGGATGATCTGCGGGTAAAATTTTTTAAAAACTTTGTTTGATACGTCCAATTGTAAGAAATAAATGCAAACAATTATAATATTTATACAGTTTAAAGTTGTTTTTTTTACATTTCATTTTTCTACATAAATAATGGCGATTAAAATAATTAGATAATGTGAGCAAGCAACAATAATATACAAATTGTCAAAAAGAAGAGAAATGTAAAGATATTTAATAATATTATTAAAATGCATCAAATATTAAACAACTACTAAATATTAACAATAAATAAGTTTTGAATATTATGTGCAATAGAATTCAGACTTTCTTTTGAATCTATGATCACTCAATTCGATCAAGTACTTAGCAAGATACAAAAATATATGGTAATAGGTAAAGAACTATAGCATATCGTATAACTAGATAAAGCATTCATAAAGTATATTTACAAAACTTGCTTTTCAAGCTTTGATCTCATTTAGTGTTAGTTAATTAGTTTTAGAGAGATTTATAAAAAAATAGTTTTATGAAGTAATGGTGGTAACATGATTTTTTTTTTTAATATTTACTTTTGTATCTATTTTTAAATTAGTATTTTATATGTATATTTAAGAATGTAATAATTAAATTAAAAAAGTATTTACACAATTTCTTTTTCCAAAGGTTAATGATTGAACAAAATCAGAAAGAATTATTATGATATATTCTTGTAAGATCTAGCAGTGTACGGATCATAAAGAATTGTCATGCGGCCATATTTTATTATTTTTAGAAAACAGGTAGAAAATTCAACATCAAAATTATAGTTGATATAACAATTATACTATCAATTATTAATCACTTTTTTTTAGATCTGGTGGTGTACGATCAGAAAGAATTGTTACGCGGCCATATTTTATTATTTTTAGAAATAGGTATGGTGCAAGTCACCTAGTCCTGCAACTTGCTGCGCCTCATGGCCAATTTTGGGAAAAATCATCAAAGCTCAGAATTGTATATAATTTTATATCACGTGACCTTTAATGGTGATACAAATTAAAAAAAATATTTATATTAATAATATATATAATGTTATAACATTGCTAAAAAAATTTTTCCTTCTTCATGTGAAGAAGCCAATGCTCCTGCGGAGTGCATTCTTCGAGAGCTTTGCCCTCAAAGAATTTTTGGACACCATACATTTTTTCATATTAAAAAGATTAATTGTCATCTCTCATCT